CTCGGATTCATTCATTGTCTCAACCGTGACGTGGATTACCTCTGTCTTTTCTTCAAATGTTTTCATCATAGCTGTTCTAAGAATTCCACCTTAGCACCTTGATCGCATGAAATTAAGCGTACTACTAGATTGGCATGTAGGTCTCACTGTTTTACTGTTTTATTATTCTAATATTTTTCTATCACTTTTCGCCTGTGGAACTCTCTTCTGTCACCTACAATCTTCAAAAATTTAAATCCAATGTCAATCGTCATCTTCAGACTTCTGTCTGTTCTTTTATTGTCCTTTCTCCTTACTAATGCCTTCTCATTCTCTTTAACTCCCACTAACCTCTTGAGGTTTTGTGGCATTATGAACTTAACAGAAATGATAAAAATATATCTATAAAGTACTATATCCAAAATAACAAAATTAATTTTCCCACAAGAAATAAAACTCCTGTTGGTAGATTTTCTTTTGATTTCTATACTTGGCCATGCAATTAAATGTAATTAAAGCAAAAGAATCAACAATGTCATTTACCTGCAGGTTAGCAGTCTACAAAATGGCGCATCGAGGTGGTATTTTCATCAGTTTCTAAGTCTGCAACCACAACAGGAACAACGAAATTCTTCATTCACTTTTGCTTGATATAATAACAACTTGGACGTGTGATAAGACCTTATTGAGCATGAAGAGGCCAGACTAGAACTCCTATTTATAGTATCTAAGTGAGGGAGATTTTTTTCTTCCAAGGGAGACAATTTTCATCAAGCGAGGTAACTCCTGTTGGTCTATACTAGACTCGGTACAGATCAAGACTGTCGTTGTTCTCTTAAAATAATGAAGAATGAGATGATGAAAAGAGTGGTATAATTTGATCGACTGAAACATAACCTAGTAAGCTATAAATACGTTTGGAGCAGATGGAAATTTAATTAGTCCTGCGAAATAATTTTGAAACACAGAGTTTTTTTAGAAAATAAGTACAAAGCATTATGTGAAAAGATATAAAATGAATTTTCACATGTTTGGCAAGAAATACATCTTCTGTTGTCTTTGCCATTGATAAAGATGGCCGTGTACATGACTAAATTTGGAACATTTTCAGAAAATTACTAGGTGGATATCTAGATAGATGTTATTTTTTCTCGGTACAGATCTGGACTGCTTAAATTTTTGCTAGATACATATCTGGACTACACTTATTTGTTCTCGGGTATAGATCTGGATTGTTATTGTGTGTCTCGTTTAAGATATAAGGTACCGTTTCTTTTTTTTTCTTTTTTTTTTTTGGCTCGGTACAAATCTAAACTGTTTTTTTTTTATTTTGGCACTGTAAGGGCATTGACTGGTGTTATTTTTGCTAGATACAGATCTGGACAGCTGTTATTTTTGCTAGATACAGATCTGGACAGCTGTTGATTTTCTAGGCTCAGGTCTGGATAGTTGTTATTTTTGATAGGCTCAGATCTGGACACCTGTTGTTTTTGCTAGGCTCAGATCTGGACACCTGTTGTTATTGCTAGATACAGATCTGGACAGCTGTTGATTTTCTAGGCTCAGATCTGGACATCTGTGTTTTTGCTAGGCTCAGATCTGGACAGGTGTTATTTTTAAAGGCTAAGATTTGGACAGCTGTTGTTTTTGCTAGGTACAGTTCTAGAGTGTTGTTATTTTTGCAATGTAATGATCTTGTCTGTTGTTATTTTTTATAGGTATAAATGCTAGGTGCAGATCTAGACTGCTGTTATTTGCACTCGGTACAGATCTAGACTGAAGCTATTTTGCTAGGTACAGATCCGGACTGCTGTTATTGTTGCTAGATACAGATCTGAACTTCAGTTAATTTTGCAATATAAATTTTTTGTTTGCTGTTATTTTTGTTAGGTACAGATCTGGATAACTGTTATTTTTGCTTGGTACAGATCTGGACTACTCTTATTTTTGCTAGGTACAGATCTGGACTGTTGTTATTTTTTCTAGGTACAGATCTGGACTGCTGTTATTTTTTCTATGTACAAATTTGGACTGTTGTTCTTTTTGTTAGTTACAGATCTGACTTTTGGTTCTTTTTGTGAGGTAATGACCTGGACAGTTTTATTTTTGCTAGGTACAGATAAGGAGTACTGTTATTTTTGCTAAGTACTGACCTTATTTATTGTTATTTTTGGTAGGTACCAACCTTCACTACTGTTATTTTTACTAGGTATAGATCTGGACTGGTGTTTTTTCTTGTTTTTGTTTTTTTTGCTGTTTTGTTTTTTGTTTTTGTTTTGCTAGGTAAAGACCTTGCATACCGTTCTCCTCTTGAAAAGCATTGAAGAACAATGTGGTTAGATGATTTAAATAACTTCATGAACTAAAAATAACCGATTCGTTTATAAGTCCACTTGAATTCCGTTTATGCTGATTAAAATTTAACTGAAACGCTGACACGCCTGCGAAATGATTTTGAAGGGCAAATACAGTTACGAAAGACGGATATGAAATACTCTGGTCAAAAGTACAAAATAAACTATGAAAAATCAAGAGTGATCTCCCCTTGTTTTGTTACTTACCTCTTTGAGAGAGCTATTTCTGTTTACTGGGACTATAAAAGGACACTATAGGCGAACTTTGTATTCACAGTTGAATAAAGCTTTCTTAAAGCCTACCTCTGCGTACTTTTGTCATTACATAAATATCTCAGTTTTTGGCTAGAAATAAAATTACTGCTGTTAGCATTTATAGTTCCATCCTTGCTCGAGAAAGAATTCAGTTCAGTCTCATTCATTTATTAAACCAGCAACGAAATGTTACAAATAATAAGTTAAAAAGTAGACTTGATTTCTTAAATATTGAAAAGAATTCTCATTTGTAATACAAAGCTATAAAATTGTAAGTATTTATAGTATAATCACAAATTTCATTTGAGCATCTATGATCATTTACTATAGTAATTTTAAATCGATTCACACTGAAGGAAGGTGATAAAGTTACTAAGTCGCAAGAGGTTATAGAAAGGAAAATAAACTGAGAAAATGTGTGCGTGGATTTGTTTAAGGTGGAACTCAACTTGCTAGGAACTGACCCACAGACTTGATTCATAACCTTCCTCTTCGACACATATGGAATCAGACATGCAGAATCCAGTTATGAAACTGCAACGGACAGCTGCTGTTATAATTTAGAGTGGCGCCTTCTGTAAATTGTCCCTCATGCGTAGCCCTCTTCATTTGATATTTCAACCGTTGAGACCTGTTGTAATAATCATCCTCTTGTTCCACAGTTGGAGTCTTCGGGATCGGTCGCCCTTAGTCTGGCTTCTGGTCTTCGACCTTGCCTGCAAGGGTGGGCCTACCAGGGGTTTAGAACTCCTGACGGCATCGCTCTTACAAAAACAGTAAAGCGATATTTTTATTAAAACAAAATTTATAATTTAATTGGGTTCAATACAGAACTTGACTCCTTATTTTTTAGAAACATGTCTGGATTGTTATTATTTTTTCCAAGTACAGATCTGGACTACTGTCATATTTATTAATTAAACATCTGGATTGCTGCTTCGAGTGACGCCTTCTATAGCATGACACCTTTACACCTTTCCCATGGGTATTTTTTTCCGAAAATGAAGCCGATCTCACTTATTCCCCTTTCCGAGTTGATAATCGTTACGCTACCCAATCATCCAAGTACAATTTGTAATTAACAAGTAAATCAATGTCTAGACTCTTTAGGAAACGAAGATCATTTTTTTTTTGTTTTTTTTTTTTGTTTGTTTTTTTTTTCCGATTGTCTGCACTTGTTTTTAATCTCGCTCTTTCTTTCAGTCACTATCAGATAGAGACTAAAAGAGCAAAAGAAATCGAGATTAAAAGGTAAAACCCTGGAATAACGGGAGCCCGGGAGAACTTAAAGAGAAACGTAGACCATTGCTCTATATTTGTTGTAAACAAGTAAATGGTTAAGTAATGACAAAAAGCAGGTTTGCAGATATATCGTATATTAAACAGTAAGTACACCAGAAGAGTATTACACGACTAGTAAGAGTGTATCGAATAAACTAGCGCTCAATCCATTTATTGTTTACTGTTTCCTGCACACTGTTATACTTAACAGCCCCCACCACCACTACGAAGGATGTATGTGGCACAAGGCCTAGTTTACTGTGGTTTCTCAGAGCCTGTAGGCTCGGTCAAAAAATATTCCCTTAAAACCCGCATAAACCGTTTCAGGGTCTGTGTACCTCCCCGAACGAAACTTTGCCCTTCGGCAAAGCCTCGTCCGGGTTTCTCTCTGCCGAGGCAGTGAGCTGAACAGTCGAACAGGCTACGGCACTGTTATATTTAACGCCCCACCCTAGGTGGGTCGTATGTGGCACAAGGCCAAGTTTATCGTGGGTTCTCCGAGCCCATAGGCTCGGCCAAAAATATTCCCTTCGATCCCGAATAAACGGGTTCAAGCCCTGTCTACGTCCTCGGACGAAACTTCGCCCTTCGGCAAAGCTTCGTCCGTGTTCCTCTCCACCGAGGCGGAAAGTTTGACAGCCGAACAGGCTGAGGCAACGTTCGCTGAACCTTCTCTCCTACTAAACTTAGGCGGAAAAGTCTAACAGATTCTTAAGAGGGAGAACTCTACAACAATTTAGAATACATGCAGAAGAGCAATCATGTAACTGTCAACATCCCATATAAGACCTTTCGGCTGGTGACCTGCGATCGTAAGCGGCGGGAGGAAGAGCTTGTTGAGACTTTTAAACTGGCCGTCTTCAATGCCTGAAGGAAGTAAAAGTAAGGAAAAAAGCGTCATCATCATTACCAATCACCTTTTCTTGAAACTCTTGCACCGTTTTTGTCCTTGTCCTCAAATTATTGGCAGAACTCAAATATCAGTTATATACTTGAACTGATTTAATTGCCGGAAACTCATACTGGGGATTTCATTAAAATATTTATATATATTCCCTCTCTATAATAGATCTTTCATTGAACATGACTGATACGGTACTTTCCGTTTTACAATGCGTTTTTCTTTTAGGCTTATGGCCATATCACGTCGAAACACTGGTTCCCGTACGATCACCGAAGTAAAGCAACATCGAGTCTGTCAGTATCTAGGTAGGTGCCTGCTTGGTAATATAAGGTACTGCAAGCTTCGGTGTGCAGATTGTGTTATGAATAATCAAAGCGCCGAGTTCCAATTCCAGTTGGGTTCGTTATATTCCCTTGCCCGTAAATAGCCTTACCAAAGGCATGAATCCACCCCTTTTCACTCCAGCTATGGGGGTAATTAGTATAACTTGTATCAGTAAAACCATTATTATCTTCCTAAAATATAAAATAAAATAAAATTACGTACAAAATATTTAGATTTCAGCATTAAATAACCTATATGCCGTTAAACAAAAACAACCAGCCAAAAATAAATCTTAGGTTGGGGTTAATTGTTTGTAGAAATTATTCAAATGATTATTCGTTCCGAGTGCTTTCAGCACCCCTTCCCAGTATTATTCCTGTTTTTTTTGTTTTTGTTTTTCTCTCTTCCTTTCTTTCTACTAATTCCATCTCGTCTCCTTCATTTTACGCAATTTCACATGACTCCCAACGAAGACTTTTTGGCTGCATGTGTTTGTTTGTCTGTCTGTTACTCACCAAATAATTGGCTGGTTATCCAAAGTTTGATATTTGGCATGACCTCATTGGAATGGAAGAAGAGGTGGCTCATATCTGGAATCCATCATAAAAATTCAGAATGTGGAATTAATAAATACAAAACACTTCAGATACATCGGTGTATGGATCAGTGATCATTTAGCACAGGAGATAACGAAATCGAACACTAAACAGACTGCATTAAGCGGCATTTCACCCTACACTGCAGGTTGCTGCGAATCAAAACACTAGCCGAGTCGAACTGAACCCTTTATTTCGCTCACTGGGGTAGACTAGTTCTAGTTCTTCAAGGACACATTGCACAGTAAATAAAGGCGTTAGTTAGATTCAGTGACAGGACCCAAGGAGTGTGAGTTCAATACTTGGTTAAAGGCGGTGGATAAATTTGAGAGGGGAATTAATAGGAGATAACTGACATCCATTAGACATGGCACGTGGAACTATAACAGTCTACCCAAGTGAGCGAAATAAAGGGTTCAGTTCTACATTCCAACCACCTGAAGAAGGCCGGAGCGTACAACGGCCGAAACGTTGTGATAAACACGGCGGCAAAGATGAGCACAATAGTCCGAAAAATGTAAATAGTGCACATAATACCTCATCTCAGATATATAGCCGTCCACTTTTATATTATCTTGCTTATAGTAATTATACTAAGAATAGCTTAGATGTGGCACGAGGCCAAAATTAGGGAGCATCTAATGAGGATCGAACTCACAATTCAGTTGAAAATGCGGTGATTTTCTATGCGTAGCTTAGATGTGGCACAAGAGCGAAGGTATGGAGCACCCAGTAAGGATTGAACTCACTACTCAGTCGTAACTGATCCAGCTTGCTAACTATTGCCATATCGAAGTGCCCATATTATCTTGTTTATAGTCTGACTGTTCAAGTGTAGAAAAGTGCCGTAAAAACAAACAAAGTGATATCTACCCGACTTATAAAATACGTAAAAACCATTACTTTTCGTAATGGATGTTGTCTACGTGTATTAAGTTCTTAATATTGTTCTTCACAAACATTTTAACCTAGGCCGGTGATCACAATGGTAACGATCCGGCCATTAGACCTGGGTTCAAATGTCACTATGGTTGATTTTTCAGGTAGGTGACTTCTTGATAATGTTAACCTGGGAAAGCCATCCCAACAAACTGTACCATTGGGAACTTCTTGAAAACCACATCACGGATTAGCCCAAACCTTGTGAATGAAATTTGGTTGATAAAACAATTCTGAAGCAGTTGATGATTGTACTAGCAGGAAATCAAAAGACCCCGTGACAAAGCGTTTGCAACCTACTGGCATTGTTCAGCTACTAGTCAAGCTAAATTATGCGCCCTCTCCCAGAGACTATAATTAATATCCGTTTAGCATGGCTCTCCGTGGTTAGGCTGAAAAGTTCATAGGTCGCCGATAAAAAGTAGAGCTGTGAAATTTTGCAGGCATTAATTTCAACTCTTCTTATTAATAACTGCATTGTTTCTTTGCGGGTAAACTGACACCTAACTGTTCAACGAAGACTGTTCATCCCGTTGGTAAAAAAAAAAAGTCATCAACAGCAGAAATGACGTCATCATCACTGTGATGTCGGTTCCCAGCCAAGTGATTATTTCCGCTAAGGTCTTAGTTTGTGTATGACGATAAACTACATCCGGCAGCAAGGTCTCTGATCGGAAGATCGGGGGTTTTGAGGAGCGTGGGACCACCTCTTAACTGCTGTTGTTCCCAGGTTAACCCTGACCCCGGGTCGGTAGTACATATTAGGGTATCATCTATGGACAGTGAACCCCCAAATGAAAACAAAACATTATGAAAGTATAGAAATATAATTTTATATATAAAAAAAAAATTACTAAAACTATATATTTATATAAAAAAAATACCAGTAAAACATATCTCTATCTATAAAAGGCAGGATGTGTGTGCGTGTGTGTAACGAATGCACAGCCGCAATTTTCGACGGATTTGCACCAAAATTTACATGCACATACTCCAAGTTAGCGGGAAGGCCAAGACCGAATTTGCATTTCCCAACTCCCATCGATAGTGGAAATAATCGATTTTTTCATGTTTCTACGGCAGTTTTCATGTAGTTTGCGGCCACTTTCTACTGACCAGTGTGAGAGTCTATAGCTGGCTGCCACGAATAGGCAGGAAGATTCTATTGGCCAGCGTGAGAGCCAACAGCTGACTGACACGAATGTTAACTAGCATGCTAGCATGCAAAAATATCGATAGCTGCATTCGTCACAAGTGGGAAAAATTTAAATGGCACTTTACTCCAATTGGCTCATTCGCTTGCTTAAACTCAACGTTGATTCTGATTCCGCAGAACTGGGTTGGGTAGGAAAAAGTATTTGTTGTTAACATTCTTTTTTCATTCGGTTTTTCCAGTTACGAGTCCTTTTTTAAAGCTGATCGTTTTGTGTTCATTTTATTTTAGTTCTTTTTCGTAACAGATTTAATGTTTAGTATAGAGCTTAGAAAAATTCGCAGTGTGAGATAGGCAAGAAGTAAGGCATGTAGCAACATCAGCACGGCAAAGGGCACTCCTTTAAAGGCAAGGAAGGGCAAAAATATTTTAAGTCAAGTGATAGCGATTGCTGTATGAGTCGTACGATTTTTGAATCAAGCACGGGCAACGCCGAGCGACGCTGCTAGTTTATAACAAAATTACCAACAATACAATCTTAAAGTAAAATGACCAACAATACATTTTATAGGAAAATGACCAACAATAATTTTTTATAACAAAATGACCAACAATGCATTTTATCTGTAGTTGAAAGCAATTGCGTTCAATATATATAAGTGTAAGCATTAAAACCGTGTTCAAAATATTTAGATTTCGGCATTAGTAACCTATGGAGATTGATGTGCCTCTAAACAAAGTCACTAAAACCAACCAACCACTAAAATCTGTTTAGCATGCTATTTACAAGGCCGAGTTTTACGTGGTCACCCGAGCCCTTAGGCCCGGCCAAAAATATAGCCTTCGACTCGCCTAGGCGAGTTCGAGAGCTGTCATAACCTCCCCGGACGAAATCTTGCCCTTCGTCCGGGTTCCTCTCTGCTAACGCAGAGAGTTTGCCAGACGGCAGTTGCTGTAACTTAATACAGCTACTATGTAAATAGTATACATAATACCTCATCTCAGAAACATAGACAGGTACTGTTTAGCATGGTTGTAATATGAATCAGAAGTTTGCTCTGTAGATGTTGAAGTAATACAAATGTGCTAGAACAGGTGTCTGCAACAGGAATCAGCTAGCCACCCTGGCAGACAGGGGTAATGGGAAACGAGCAACCGGCTAATACATGACATTGTTTTGCGATGGATGAGTAACATTCTTCTGATAGCAGTTACATGTTTCCTGTAGACTCTTTATCCAAGGCATTTCGTTATATAGCCTAATCAATACGTAGATGGGTGACCGCTTGAGAATACCAAGTGTTGGATGTGCGGATGGTATAATGGATAACGGCTCGGATTTGGAAGTGGGAGAACCGAGTTCCAATTCCAGTCGTGTTCGTTATACACGCAAATACTCTTGGTAAAGGTTTGAATCCTTCTCTTATACCTCCAGCTATGGGTTAATTAGTAGGACATGTATAAGTAAATCCTTATTATCTATAAAATAATTCTCACAATCTTAGTATACTTTGGTTATAAATAATCAGCCAATGGTTTCGTAAGCTGTAAAAAACTAATCAATCAATCAATGAATTCTGGTCTCCGGCTAGTGCATGATTATTATGATGGCGGCTATGTTGTAAGATTTATTTCCCGCCAAGACAATGTCTTTATTTATGTATTCATTTTCTGTTATATTTGATACTCTTGAATTCTAACCATTGTTTGTTCTTCGTGTTCGTGTATCCACTTGTACGGGGTGAAAAAGTTACTGGGTTGCCGCTTGGGTAAAATAATAATAATAATAATAATAATAATAATAATACTTCAACTAATTCACTAAAAAAAAGAGTATACCATGATGAAAAAATGCCCCAAACTTGATAAAAACAAAGTTTTATCGTCAAAATCTTTGTTATTATTAAGAGGAAAGACCAAAGGATTTTTTGATTATTTAATTATATTTTTTTATCATTTTCAGGTTTTAAATTTTGGCTAAAAATCTTGCTTTTTTTTGTTTGTTTGTTTTTTGTTTTGTTTTTTTGGGGGTTTTTTTTGCATCAACAGGCGGACTATAAATTAGCATAGCAAATTTTAGCGTCTTTTTTTGCGATGTAAAACACATTGATTCGTAAATTCTTGCAAAATCAAATAATTGTCGAATTTTAATGAAACTTTCAGGACTTATTCAGAAATTAATTAAATTTATTTAGAATTTTTTATAAAATTTCGAGAAATTAAATTTGTAAAGCTTAATATATATATATATATATATATATATAAACAAGAACTGCTTGGAGAATTTAAATCATCAATTTCTTTTTGTAAAACAGGATCCACAGTTAC